CTAAAACAATAGTTTTATAGGTGAAAGATGGTGTCACAAAGTCAGCAAAACTGCAAAAATATCTAAAAAGTGAAACCAACTGACTGAATACGTTTTCAGTCTCAATATCTTGTCTAACCACGTAGGCTAGGTCTCTACAAGGCTTGCACAGTGGGATGAAGTAATTTTCCTGTCAAAGATTTGTTTGGGAGTATTAATTCCCTTAACATTTTCTGTTGAATTTGAAGTCAGGGCTTTGACAGGGCCACTTACAGTAAGGACATCCACTCTGTTCTTCTCAGGGCACTTTGGCATGGCTTTGGCTTTGTACCTCACATCATTGCCCTGAGGAAATATCACTTTTCAACCCAGTTTCAGATTCTTGGTTGGCTCAAGCTGATTATCCTCTAGGATTTGCCTATACTTTTCTCAGTTTTAACATCCTGCTCCAGATGCTTCGCTGAGTCTCTGCTGATTAACATGATGCAGCCACCAACATGATTAACACTTGGAAAGATGCTGATTGGTATGCCGTGCTAAGTTTGCCTCAGACAGAGTGCTTTGAATGTAGACCGAAAGTTCAGTCACATCTTCTGCCATTTGTCTGTAGTACATCTTGTATGAGGAACAATGTAATAGGTTTGATCCATGCTGAAAAGAGAAGAAAGAAAACACAATGTTTTGGCTGCAGAGCCTTCTTCGATGTAAGAAAGATAGGGCAGTCAGCAGAGATAATATAGCATGGGAAAACAAAAGCCAGGAGAGAGGAGGAGGCGGGAACAGGGGAGAGGCAGAGCGGCCAATCAAGTGGTGTGAGGTCGAGAGAGGTGAAGAGAGGTGTGAAACGAAACCTACAAATGAATAGAGAGAATTAGAAAAAAACCAAGTCTGTCGTTGAGAGAGGGGGGAAGGTGTGAGCCACGTTTCAGGATAATTTTAGTTTCTGATGTCTTTCTGCTATAGGAGTTAGGAGTGTGAGTGCCAATTCTGTGTACAAGGGTATGGGTGGGTGGATCAAGCACAGTGTGTTTGTCCAGTGTGTGCTTGAGGGCTATAAGACCATCATTGTGGGGAATGACGTTGTAGAGATGTGATGGCCATGGTTAAAAAAAATAAATGCTGAGATGATAGGCGTCCAGGGGTGTCGGCTTTGTTCGTTTTGGGGAGGAGGTAAAATTGGGATACCTGGGCATGTTTAACGATGAGCCAGTTCGCTTCCTGGGGGAGCTCCTTGCTGCTGATAAGAAGGGAGATGGTGGATACCAATTCCTTTTGGTAGTCAGTGGTAGGATCCTGTTGGAGAGGAAGGAAGGCGGAAGTGTTGGTTAGTTTAGAGTCTAGAGTCTAGGAAGTCTAGAGGCTTCATTAATATATAGATTCTTCCACCACACCACAAAAGCGCCTCCTTTTTCAGCTGGTTTGATGACAATATCATCTCTATTGCGGTTTCTCTCATCATGTATGAGGTTTAAAATGAGTCTTGGGTCATTTGAAATATCTTATTTCTTCACTACACTCACCCATATTGGCCAGATTTGTGTAGGAAATGGGATACTGTCATTGTGCAAACAGTGGCTCCCATCGTAGACATATTAACTTTACAAATCTTTCAAAGCCACTGTTGGTTTGCACAGTTCCTTTTCTAACTGATTTCTTGCTTTCAGAGGGTGAATCATTTCGTAAGCCACTGTTTGCTGAAGGTCTCTTTTTGCTCAACAAGTCTTCTTTATTATTTCTTTAGCAGTAATTAGTCATGGTTATTTAACTGTAACAGATTCCCATGCTTGTGCCCATTCTGGGAATTTTATGTGTTTTCTGACAGGTAGCCCATTTTCAATGTTTACTAAAATGGGAAAAAAGGCATGAACAGAAAAACAAATTTATTATATATTTATTTTATTTATAAATAGCTTACTGAGAATTTTCCTTGTGAAGCTAGATGTAATTATAAGAAAAACAATAATTTGTGTGTAGTGTTTAGTCTGTGTTTTTTTTAAACAAAGACTGAACTAAAGACTGATTTATAGGAATTTTATCATGAAGGAGTATTCTGTAAGATTTAATTCCAACACCTGCTGGATGTAAATTATTCTTTTTTCTTCCTTTAACAGTCTGCTTAAGAAATCCAGTGCTTGAAATAAAGTAATACCTATGTGAAAGACTTGTCTTGACAGATCATTTACATGCACAATTCTGGTAACCAAGTCACAAAAAAATACTGCTGCTCAGGAATCTGTCCAGTGAAGAGCAACAAGAGAAATTCCTGGGCTCAAGGGCTGTCCTACACTGACAGGCTGCAGGGGCTGAACCTTTTTTAGTTTTGGACAGAGAAGAGAACGAGGGGACCTGATACAAGAATTTTAAATTCCTCAAAGACACTTACAAAGTCAACTCAAAGATACCAGGTCACAATGTGGAAGTGCGCTTAAAACTGAGATCAGGAAACACTTCTTTACCCAGAGGTTTGTGGGATTATAGAACAAACAACCGACACCTTGGTCTTCCAAGAAATGGCTGGAAGCGATCATTGGATCACTTAGCTACTAACTACAAAACAGGGACGAACGTGAACTTTTCTTATATTCTTATGACAAAGCCACCGCATATTCTAAACCTTAACATTTATGTAATTAAAACTTAACAACCATGCCAACACAGGAAATCTAATCTCAAGAAAGAGCAACCACACAGTTTCTGAAGTCCCTGAAATACAATTGTTAGTTTCTGCTAATAAACAGTATCGGCAGGTTCAGTTTAAATTGTTTATTACCTTGACACTAACGACTACAGCTGTAAAATTATTACCTGCTCCCACCTTGTGGTAAATATGTGATATTGCAAGCCAGACCAGATATTCAGACTACCGAATTTGAAGTTTCAGTGAGCTTCAAGGAGAACATGCAGAATAAAGGAATGAACTTCTGCACAATCAAAACTATGTTGAAAAGTGTATGCATGTACAGACACTGAAGACTGCATAACCTTGTATACCCTTTGTATGACCTGGAATATGCAATTATTATTAGTCATTTACACACTAATAATGGACTACATTCAAGTAGCAATTCTGAGCTTTAAAAGGGGGGCAAAAATGATCAAAGTGGCAATTCAATTTACTACATAAGTTATTAATAAGATAAGAACAAAGCATGAAAACCGCTCTTATATTACACATTGAACACCAATGAAATGACACAAGAACAAAAAAAAATGAAACTCTTAATAGCAATTGCAAAAACAAATGATTGACTTTAACGACATTTAAGTATGTTTCATAAACCTAATTAAGATCAAGAGTGGCAAGGTTACATATTGCATCGAATATTTAAGTAGCTTTGACATTCACTGGAATTATGACCTGTGCACAGTCTATTACTCATTTTGCTTTTGTTCTGAAAATAAGCTATATCACCCTGTGACTTACCACTGGCAGCCCACTGAAGCTAAGCAGCTGTGAGCCTGGATGGGAGACCTTCTGGGAAAGCTAATGCTGCTGCTGGAATGGGTTTTAGTGGGGCCAGTAGGGGGCGTTCACCCTGAGGTCTGTGTGGGTCTTAATGCCCGATTATAGTAATGAGGACACTATATGGTCAAAAAGGCACCATATTTTGGATGAGTCATAAAATTGAGGTCCTGACTCTCTATGGTCATTTAAAAATTGTGCACTGGTACACTTTGATTGCCATCGCATCATCCAGGTGGGGTTTCACATTGGTGTTGGTAGAGGGGAGTCTCCATTACCTGTAAAGTCTTTTGAGTGGAGTGTCCAGAAAATCACTATATGTGTAAGGATATTATTATTATTGCAAAGGTTCCTGGGGTTCCTGTTGCTCAGCTGGTGTGGTTTTTAAATAGTTTTGTTCTATACCCTGTCTTTAATACCCTTAATTATATATTTCTAAATTTCGTTATATATTTAATAGATATACTAATAAAATTAATTAATACATATGCAATGAAAGACTCACCACTGTCTTAACACAAATACACAGAGCTTAACACACTCACCCCAGAGCTAGTAATAATAACCTTCATCCAGGTGGATGCTGCACATTGGTGGTGGTGGAGGGGACTCCCCATTACCTGTAAAGCGCTTTGAGTGGAGTGTCCAGAAAAGCGCTATATAAGTGTAAGCAATTATTATTATTATTATTATTATTATTATTATTATTATTATTCTTACAACAATGTCTTTAGTATGATAAGAAGATCCATCCAGTCAACCACAGTATAAAGTACTATTAACACGAGGGAAAAAAGATTGAAAACAGCAAAAATAGTTATCTTTACTTTTAAAAAGAGTAAGATTCATTTCAAACAGACCTCCTCAAAATGTGCAATAAACATACTAAGCACTAAACACAATGACTGATGAAATAAAGATTTCTAAGAGGATTATATTGACTATTTCATTGTCAATAAACTGTGTGGACTGTGTGTTGTCCCTTGCTTTAAGTTTTTCACCTACAAGCAACGCATTTTTGTCTCTCAATAGTCAACTAGTCTGCACATAGGAGGTGTTCTGTGCAGATGTTAGCAAATCGTTCACGTTCTATGAAAAACTTCTTCTGCAAAAGAGCACAATGCTCCTGCTTGATTCGGATTATTATTGTGCCAGCCTCACACCAGGAAACACATCAAGTGTGGACACATTAAGGAGGATCTGATAAAATGACCAAAGACCACATTACAACACTTTCAATAATCGCTTATTCAATCCAGGGGCATCACGGCCTAGTATTTAACTAATAATTAACCTACCAGTATGTCTTTGGACTGAAGGAGGAAACCTGAGTGCCCTGAGGAAACACATATGAATATGGGCAGAACATGCAAACTCCATGCAAATAGCACCCCTGAAACTGAACCCAGGGCCCCAGCACTCTAATGTACCAATGCTAAGCCCTGCACCACCATGCTGCCCAGACCAGATATTCTACTATGAAAACAGTCTGCAAAATGAACTTGCAAAGCATCATCAACCCAATGTGTTTGAAGAACAAAGCTTTGACAACTTCTTTAAAAAAACACGCACATTTATTAAATATACAGAGACCCTAAGATTAACGAATATGGATTTCACAGAAATTCTTTCTTTATTCAAAATAAGGATGTTTTCCTTCTTGAAAAAAAATCAATGTGTACTGAACAGATTGTTGTTGATTCTCTATGGGGTTGGATAATCGCAGTAGCCTTGTTTGCTAAAGAATAGAAGTGGGCAGATTTCTGAAAGGAACCCAAAGACACAGGGTTGACCTACATTGTTTAATGAACTTAATATACTTTTTACTTTGTACATATACGTTTTATTCCGTTATGAATCTCTCCCCTTTCTACATGGAATCCACCATTTTATGTGGTCCATGAGACACTGTACAAATCCTGTAAATCCAGCCTTATGTAAGGTCTTTGACTGGACTTTGATTGGAGGACCATCTGACCCAGCAGTGATAAAACAAGAGTCAGTTGCAGAACCCCGGCCACCAGAATGACAATTGGGGTGAGCTGGAGTGTTCCCTGTGGATCCAATATGTGTGCTCCAGCTCCTTTTTCCAAAGAATCAGATGCCAAGAAAGCAGATATGGTGAAATGTTTTGAAGCATCGCTTTGTGTGGGTGATCCAGTTGCTGGTTTTATTATGGTTATTACTTTTATGGCTTCATTGTTTTTAGAGGTTGGTTTAGATTTTTTATTTGATTTTGTAGTAGTTGTGGCGATTGGTTTTTTATTTGTTTTGATTATCCTTTTCAAAGTTGTTGTTGGTTTTATAATAGGTCTTGTTGTAAGTTTTGTTGTAGCTCTAGCTGTTGGCTTTGTGGTGGTTGTAGTTGTTGGTTTTGTAGTAGCTGTAGTTGTTGACTTTGTCATGGCCCTAGTTGTTGGTTTTTTGGTGGTTGTAGTTCTTGGTTTTGTAGTGGCTCTAGGTGTTGGCTTTGTAGTGGTTGTAGTTGTTGGTTTTGTAGTGGCTGTAGTTGTTGACTTTGTCGTGGCCCTAGTTGTTGGTTTTGTGGTGGTTGTAGTTCTTGGTTTTGTAGTGGCTCTAGGTGTTGGCTTTGTAGTGGTTGTAGTTGTTGTAGTAGTAATATGTGACTTTGTTGTTGGCCTGGTTTTTGTTTTTGTGGTGGTTGTAGTTCTTGGTTTTGTAGTGGCTCTAGGTGTTGGTTTTGTAGTGGTTGTAGTTGTTGGTTTTGTAGTGGTTGTAGGTGTTGGTTTTGTGGTGGTTGTAGTTCTTGGTTTTGTAGTGGCTCTAGGTGTTGGTTTTTTAGTGGTTGTAGTTGTTATTTTTGTAGTGACTCTAGTTGTTGACGTTGTTGTGACTCTAGTTGTTGGTTTTGTAGTGGTTGTTTTTGGTTTTGTAGTGGCTGTATTTATTAGTTTTGTAGTGGTTTTGGTATTTGTTTTTGTAGTTTTTGTAGTAAATGGCCTTTTAGTTGCTGCAGTAGTTGTGGGTTGTTTCCTGTTAGCAGCCCTTGAACTAGTAGGAGTTACAGATTTAGCTTTTACTTTTGCGACGGAGGATACATTCCTAGCAGAGCTTCTTGAATTCTCTGCTGTCTCTGGAGTCAAATCTTTAAAAGACAAAAATGAAAAAGTACACTTTTAGAGTCTTTCTGTTACATATACTAACATCATATTCATAGAAAGGACCTAAAATTACATCTGAGTGTTAATGAGCCTTTAATTTAACCTAAGTAAATATTCCAAATGATTGTTAAATGTAAACTTGTGTTCTTGGCACTTAAAACAGTCATCACATTCTGATCAAAATGTTGGGAATCAACAGAATAATTTAAAGAGTAAAGAGTGCAGGATTCAAATCAAGGGCAGTGATGTTAAAATTAAACAATGCATTATGTACACCTTCGTTGAAATACAGTGTCCAGCTTTGGCCATATAAAAATATACTGCTGCTCTCAAAGGAGCAGTACAGTAAGTGCAAGAAAGGACAACCCACCTAATTCTAACTGGAAATTACTGTCAAATCCAAACAGATTAAGAGAGCAGATGCAGGAAAATACTGAAGACTGTGCCTATTTACTGTAGACTAATGGACATTTTAATTAGCAACATGAGTGAAATACACTGCTCACAGCTATAACAGAAGTGCACCACCCAGGATTTGAACAAAACAACAAACTTTGAGTTACACATCCAGAGTCCTAACCTCTCCTTACGGTTAGCCATTAACCAAGCTCAAACAGACTCAATAATCACAGCATTCGTCATTCATAAACGTGAACTATTTCTGGAAACTTACAAAGTTTTTTTGTTTGAATGGTATTCTTCTTGGATTTTAAAAGACTTAATCATATTTATATGCAGGTTGAATCCAGATTCAAGGCTACTTAAATCCAATACCAGTCCATGAAATAAGACATTTTACTAAAATTTTGGAACAATGTCGGCTTTTAGTATACAGTACATATATACTGTATTTATGTTTATGTGTATTGCAGTATGCAGGCTTCAAAGGGACTCTAGTCTTTAAAGCTCGCAGTTTCTATAGTGCAGCAATAACTTAAAACAGTTAAGATGGTCAAATTCCTTTTTCCGAAATACTAAAAACAGAGCAGTTTAAAGAAGAGATAAAAACCTCAAATAAAAGGCAAAAAAAATCCCTCAGGAGATAGACTTGTGCAGCCACAAAATGTAAAGAATATTTAATTTCCACCTTGACTTAACTGAGTAAAGTCAATGGTACTGAGCCCAATCCTGGCGATGTCTGTGATACCACTGGGACAGACCAGTTACTAGCTGGACTGGGCACAAAGACGGCTTATTATCACATCAATGAAAGCTTAGTGCATCAGATGCAGATGAAGTGGATTTACTACATGGTGCTTACTAACATTTTATATTGTTTTGAACATTTTGTTTTCCATGACAGCTCACACAAAAATGTCTTTGTTTGGAGAAAAAGGAAACAATGTGACATTTCACTAACCAGACTGTTTAACTGTCATGTTAATCATTCCTCAACTTTGCCTTTTTCGCTTTAAAAAACAGGATGAGAGGAATTTCTTAAAACTAAAGCTCAGCACAAATTGCAGCAACACTTTTCCAGTATGAAAAAAGAGAAGGAAGGATCCTAAGAAAGATTCTGTAAGGTCTTTACTCAGACAATAAAGCTCCTATGTGATTAGAAAACCACAGACAAGCTTGCTGACCTTCTTGGATTCTGAAGCTGTCCATTCCTATAGAGTGCTTCAGAGGACAGAATTTGTCACTTGGACAGTGAAGTAAATAGCAGTTTGGGTGTTTTAGCTTCTTGTTCCTGTCAAACACCATCAAGTTGCACTTGTAACCTGTTAGAACAGAAATGAGTAGATACAAAAATGTGATTAGCTCAAAATAACTTCATTTCAATGTATTAAAGGCCATTCTCAAAGAATTGTAAACAACTCACATGATTTAAGATTCAAATTTCGTATGTACAAACTAGTTTTGGACGGCTAACAAACATATTGATGCCTGCTTTCTTGGGAGAATGCAGCTACGATTCTAGCAATTGATTACTAACTTGGAGCCCCTTCCTCCATCCATCTTCGAACTACTCTATTCAAGGTTGCAGGGGAGCCTATCCTGGCAAGCAATGTGTGCTAGGCGGGATACACCCTGGAAGGGACGCCAGTCCATCACAGGACAGACACACAGACACAAACAGACACTCTCACACAAGGACCAGCTTTTCTCAGTAGCCAATTATCCTTCCAGTATGTCTTTGGATTGTGGGAAGTAACCGGAGGAAACCCAAATTAAACCAGGGAGAACATTCAAACTCCACACGGATAGCACCCCAGGTCTGGAATTGATCCCAGGGTCCCGGTGCAGCAAAGCTAACCACACCGATACCATGCCAGCCTACATGGAGCCCCTCCTCCTTAAAAATGAATGGGGGGCATGATTTACCCCACTGCTCGGGTCAAGTTACACTCCATCAATCCTTTCAGCTGTGTGACTCAGAGTGAAACGAAACAAAATGAAGTGATCTTTATTACAGTCATGTTATGTGAACCTTGCTCCTGTTGCTCTTTTTACAGAAAATGTAATTATGCCTGCAGCAGATTTCAAAGATTTCCGTGTTATTTACCCACCACCATGCTTGGATGGCAGAGGATGTGAATAATGGTGTACTGAGAGCAGTAAATTCAAACTAGTTTTGGTGATTGATATCAATCTTTCACTCAAACTAAGTTTACCATCATAAAGAATCACACAGCACAGATTACCCATAGAACAACATAGTGCAGTAGTGCAGTAACTACACCGATTACCCATAGACGTACAGAATGCAGTAGTTTTATCCAAATGACCAGGAACAGTAATTATCCTATTAACAATAATAATGGCTGTTTGGATCTACATTTCCTCTAACAGCCTGTAAACTGATCTAAGCTGGCTGGCCTCTATAACACTGAGGCCACGGCTTCTGTTGAGGTCTGAACAGTATCTGCTGCATTGCTTGCCAGCACGATCCTGCAGGATGCAGGGTGATCAATTCCTGATATTATCATGTTTGGTGGTGCAGCAGAGCAAGATATCAGAAATTCACAAAGTACACAAGCATCACAATCTTAGATTACCGAGTTGATGGGTCAGTAATAATATTTTTAAGGTTTCATTGAGGAGTTTCAAGGTCTATAAGTACATACTCTTACACATTTTTCTTGTCTAGTCATACTCTAAAACTGTATTCTACTTTGCGTGAAGTAGAACACAGTACTGTGATATATTGAATATTAACCTTTAACCATTTTTATCTTAAGTAAAAGTATCAGGATTATTTTCTTGAATTCTTCTTTTTATTTATAATTTACAACAATAGAACTAGTCTTCTTACTTAACCAAATTTAATCACTTACTCAATGTATCAAAGTAACATAATGATACTTAACTTTTAATCATGTGGAAGATCAAAAAATGTGAAATATCATTGGAACGAGGCAAAAAACTATTGAATTGAAACTTCAAGTAGGGCAAAAGAGAAGTCCCTACAAATTTGAAGAACTAGATTTAGAGACCACTCCTTTAAACCATAGTTTAATGAGAGGTTTAAAGAAAAATTAGAATGTAAGGTCCCAGTGTGACTGACTCTCCAAATATGTGTACTACCAGGTATGTAAAACAGAAATGTATTTATGATTTCACTTAACTTGATAAACGGGAAAATGTGTCCACCACATTTATTTCTGTCCTTGATTAAATAGGAACAAAAAACATCATGCAATAGAATGACTTAATATGTCTTGCTTAAAAAAGTTTAAAAATGCATTTCACTGTGCAAACCCATACATTTATATGTCAGTTTATGTCATTAAACGTTAACTGCACTCCAGAAAACACGAGAGTCACATTTATCCACACCTCTAACTGTTCCTTTAATCAAAATTCAATAAAAAATAAATCCACAGTAACATTCTGGTCTTTAGATGAATGCAACGGAACTATCTAGAGGCCTCTGAAGATTTCCGGTTTCCCTGAGGCATTAAAGGTGGTCACACATTGAAGACATTCAGTAATAGCATGCATCGTCATGGTTAAGGCCAGAGAGCTCGCCAAAGAATGCAGAAAAATTGTCATGGAGCTCCCCAACTTCAGGGACGGCTATATAAGACTACAAAAAGATGACCTTAACCACTAAACTGACTCTTTCTAATGTGTTAGATAATTATAAAAATGCATTTTTAATGAGAATAACTATCAAAAGAATATGCCCTGGATACCTTTTTCAACTTCTTTCGAACAGCAGGAAGTGATGCAGTCATTCTCAGAGGAAGAGTAGAATGGCTCCTTGATCTTCATCCCTGCTCTCAAGGCCAATAGGATATCCACGGTCATGTCTGTGTGCACTTCCCTGCCACAGGACTGGTGATCCGAGGCTGTGGCGGACGCACTCCACAGGACCAAAGTGGCAAACAAAGGAGCCAAAACTCTCGAGACACCGATACACATCGCAATCGAACACATGGCATGAGAATGTGGAGGCCAGACAGCTCACAGGTCTCGAGAGGACGTGCAGATCCAAGTGGCCAAATCCTGGAGAGAAAGGTTTTTACAAATATTAAAACCAGCCAGCCTCTTTAGTAAATCCACTAGAAACCCTGGGATGGGATGGGATTCCTCTTTGCAGCTATAAGATTGAACTTTCTGCTCTTCAGTGCTGACTGAAACTCATTTTTAAAGACCAAAAAATGCTGATTGTATACAAAGGTGGAATGGTTGGAAGAGCCCACACACACGTTTCTGGAACAAAGGCTACATTAAAGACAAATGAAAAATCCATACTAGAATAGGACGTTAACGCGTAGCAAGCTATTTGTATTTGACAAAATCATGTCCAGCTTACTTTCCAAAGTGAAAGCTTTTGTTGAGATTCCCTCTTAATTTAAATAAACAGCTTTTACAGCCTTTGGTTAATAACTACATTCCTTTACAGTGAGTGTAAAGTCAATTGCATCTATACTTCTGTAGAGATTTCCTAACATTTAGAACACAATGCAAGGAGTTCCTGCAATGAGGTTTACGTAACTCAACAGCGGTTAACGTTCCTTTATGAATAGTTATCCCTAAGACAGGAGAGTGTATTTTATCCTTGCAGTTATGTGGGCCATTCATAGTGGAAAACCGTGTAGTGCAGGATAATGTTACCTTTGTCACGGATTGTTCCCCTACTGTCTGTCATACACCCAAAATCTGTTTCAAGAAATAAGATGTGACTGAAACACAGTCACTCCCCGTTGTTCCAGAGAAACATATTTTGTATATAAATGGCTAAAATAAACATGAACATTTTAAAAGTAAACTGAAGTCTTGTACTTACCAATAAGAGGCCCTTGGTAATTAATGCGGCTCTATGTGTCGGCAGAGTGGCCTTTGTCCAGTTATTACACACCGCCTCCCATCTTGCAGCAGAACTTTGCACAGCTCTGTAATTACACATATTATCAGTTACCAAACTCCAGACCTTGGGTGATAAACAAATATTTTAAAGGTGCAATATGCCAAAACCTTCTGAAGCGTCTAATGCTTTCTTACTAGAAACAAATGTTGACTGCATAAGTTCAACTTCTGGACATTTTAAAAAAGGAATGGCAGAGAAAGTTTGTGAGCCGAAAATATTAGTCACAGAAAAAAAGACAAGATGTGGTCTTAAAGTACACATATTAAATATTGCTTTGGAGTACAGTAGTGAAGACAATTATCACTAGTCAGACATTTCTTAGAATTATTCTCTAAAATTTCCCACATGGAATATAGTAAACCGGAGTAAATCTGGACTAAAACGACAGACCACACCCTATACGGCCCTTGCACACATCATGGCTTGGATTTCTGATTTAGCAATTGATATGCTGTTCTATCCTTGATTCCTTGAAAAGCAAGTTATCACCTTTTTAGGCGATACTGTATGTGCAGGTAACCACAAGCCAACCTCTTGGTTTTTGCTAAAAAGTTTGTCACAGATTTACCCATGCCACCCAGCAACCACCCTTTTTGTGTGTTGTTTAAGTCTGCAAAGCAATTGATGATTATTTTCATTCAGTGAATCATCATTTAGAACTTAAGGGTTGCTATATAAAGTTTCGTTTTTGTAATGGCCACACTTCTTTTTGTAGCGTCACAAGTGTGAAAAAATCACACTGAAAAATAACTGAAGTGATATAACTTTCCTTGAAGTTTTTTTTAAAGTAACTCTTAAAGTTAAACGTTCTACTCTCACTTGTTTTAATAACTCACTCTTGTTTTAATAATATAAAGTGTAGTGAAACTACAGTTGCAAAGAAAAACTACCAGATATTTAATTGCTTAATCGATCTCGTCTTTTAGTAAAGGCGTAAGCTCGACTAATTGTTTCAGTTATTGTCAACATCATCAACAACAACAACAGTTTAACATTAAACAGATTGTGCGTTAATATATATATATATTTACGGCGTTTGCTTCAGTAAAAGCTTGTACGCCAGTGATCAGATTTGATTTTCAACTGAGTTTCTTTATCCTCGGCTATTTCCTTCCGAGGAACCTTTTTGGAGTTCCGTGTTATGTACCAAGATTTCAGCACTAACCGTAGTGAGATCATACAAATTTTAAATTAATGCGATCCATACTTCACAGTTGTTGCTTGGAGAAACGGGTATTAAATAAATTGGGTATTTGCAGATGTTGATTGAAGGTGCACAGAGAAGAAAAAGCGTTGCATCCGGAGTACTGTACTTCAATGCAGTTTCAGCCTGAATAAAGCCTGTCAATAAAAAATATATTCTTTAAAACTTTCGTTTTCCAATACTTTACAAATAGAAATCAAAGGTACAATTGGTATAGTCTATGTAATGTGCTAGATATACAATTACGTTAAATCAAAGCATGTTTGCTTAAAGAGATTTATGTAATACGTTTCCTACTATATGGCGAAAAAATGCTCCAGGTATTGTATCTGTAAGTTATCTTACCTCAAACTCTGCAATACTTCCCGTAGTTCCCAATAGTATTTTATTTTCCCCCAATAGCAATTTGTTCCTGAGACAAATTCCGAGCTCTTCCCGAACGTGACGTCGACAGAAGGAACTGGCAAAGTTGTCAACATTACTTGAACAAGAAATGTTGTCTCACCAAGGCAACAGCTGTAGTCTCCAACAATTGTTTGTCACTTTCATTCGTATGTTAAAAATACAGGAAATAGCTAGATATCTTTATTGCCTGCAAAGCGAAGGGTGTACAGAAATGGAATACCAAAATTAATGGCGTAAAAAGTGAAATTGAATAATAAAATGTGAAAACAATACATCAAAGGTGGGATTCCTATTAAAGACATTATGAAGGTCATTCATACCCTTAGGTCAAAACATAAGGGTGTTTTGAAAATAATTAAAACATTAATTTGCACTTGACGCTGTTTCTCTGAACAACCGAATGCAGTCTCTCACAGCATTTGAGCATCGCACATTTACTACAAACGCTGAGTGTTTTTATAAATTGATGACAACTGGGGAAACTTACTGTAGAACGTTTTATCCATTTTTCTTTAAAGCGTCACACTGATATTTTTTAGTCATGAAAAGTAATCAGTAAAGGGTTTCTCTTTGTCATTAAAAGCATTACATTTTAGCAATTAGAAAAACAATGTACTGTACTTGTATATAAATGTGTAATTAATGGCTTTATTGTGGAGTTAAAGAAAATGTATGCACATTTTCATATGTTCAGTTTGAGCACTTAAGGTTTTTTTAAAGATATTCACTTCAACAAAATGGAACATTATTGGGAAGGAGTGCATACTTTTGCAAGACACTGTAGATTCATAATCATCATAAAGCTGACTACAATATGTGTGTATAGTATACAGAAAATCAACAGGGGGGCTTCATGTGAAAGTCACAGACTAGAAACTGCATTGCAACCACTGGAAGAGCTTAATGCAATACCATCCAGCCCTTACTTCTAAGGAGGAAGCTGGAGGATATGCAAGTCGATGCCTCCATGACCTCGTGGATCATTGACTACCCGACAGGCAGACCACAGTCTGTGAGACTTCAGAACTGTGTGTCTGAACAGGTAGTGAGTAACACAGGGGCACCTCAAGGGACAGTTCTTTCTCCATTCCTCTTCACCCACCCTCTATACTTCGGACTTTAAGTACAACTCAAAGTCATGCCACCTGCAGAAGTTCTCAGATGACTCTGCAATTGTAGGATGTATCAAGGGTGAGCAGGAGGAGGAATACAGAGGACTGGTCAGCAGCTTTGTGGAGTGGTGTGGGGTGAACCACTTGGAACTGAATGTAACAAAGATAAAGGAAATGGTGGTAGATTTCAGGAGGAAAAAGGTCAAACCTACTCCTGTCTACACCCATGGGAGTGGCGTGGAGATGTTGGACTCATACAAGTACCTGGGAGTGCACATCGATGATAGACTGGAATGGTCTAAGAACATCGAGGCCATCTATAAGAAGGGACAGAGCTGACTTTACTTCTTGAGGAGGCTCAGGTCCTTCAATGTATGTAGTAAGATGCTACATATGTTCTATCAGTCGGTGGTAGCGAGTGCCATTTTCTACGCAGTGGTATGCTGGGGCCCTGGGATTAGAGCAGTGGATTCTAAAAGGCTGAACAAGCTCATCAGGAGAGAAAGCTCTGTCATTGGGTCTGGCCTGGACCCCCTGGAGGTAGTGGCTGAGAGGAGAATGGTGTCCAAACTAGAGGCCATCATGGACAACATCTCCCATCCCCTCTATGACAGGCTTGTAGAAATGAAGAGCACGTTCAGCAATAGACTGATTCATCCACGGTGCGACAGGGAGCGCTACAGGAGGTCATTCTTGCCTTCTGCCATAAGACTGTACAATGCATCCACCTTGCGTCTGGGCAGAGGCAACATTGACTGTGACCTGTTTCTGGACTGAACGCATCTACACATCTACTGCTACATCTGTTCTCTTCTTTTCTTTTCCCGTTTACAACCGTTTTTTGTGCAATATATGCCAGGGACCCGTGCAATACATTTATATTTATATCTATATCTATATTTAGATCTATATTTATTTTCATATGTGTGATACGATTTTTCCACATACTGTTCTGTTCTAGTTTGCTCTTTGTGTGTCCGGACTGTGAGTAACTCTTTTAGTGCACCCCTCACTGTACTGATTGTATTGTATGTATTGTACTATTATTATTATTGTATCATTCGTTACACTGTGGCTGTGTTTTCTGTGTAAAGCTGCTGTTGCACTGCAATTTCCCTCACGGGATCAATAAAGTATCTATCTAATGAAGTCTGTACAGTATACTGTATCTGTGATACATGCTTTTCATCAGGTGGCAGATGGGATTCTATCCTCTTCCTCTCACAGATCCAGGACAAGAATATACTGGTTACTAGTCTCCGAGCCCTACATACCACACGTGGTTCCAGCTCATGGCATAAATGGAGCTCAAGTCTAATGAGTTGAAAATCCCAGTATAACTTCCAATCTCACCCCACAAGGAAGGAGGGGTACCATGACAACAGGCACTATCCTCTTGGAATGTTGTTCCAATTACCTTGTCGGCAGTATGAGCAGCAAGTTCCCAGGTCTTGAGGAAAGTAGCTCTGTGCAGTCAAGTTGCTATCCATTGCTACAGGTTCATCTCTTATCCTAGACATCAAGTTCTAAGCAAACCTGTAAAGATTCCTGCCCAAACCATGGCTGCTGGAGCTTCCCATCAGTCTTGGCGAGGTGTTGTAACTCTTGGTCTCCCGGACTACAGCCTGTAACTGATGGACTGTTCAATGTGACAAATGGTGTGAACACTCCAAATTTCAAGTGAGAGTGAGCTGACTTAGTTCAGACTCAAACATACCGAAGATTATCTTCAAGCCTAACATTCACATTGCCCATGCCCTGTCAGCTTTCACTGCTGTGGAGTTTAGTGTTCATATAACAGAGTAATTGGTATCATGATGATGTTATCCAGTCAGTCGGATCCGACTCTCGGCGATTCTATAGACCATCTCTCGCCACGCTTTCCGGTCTTGGACTTTCCCTTTCAAAATCTGCACTTTAATTTTTCCAAAAACATACCTAGTAATGTTTCTTTTGACGCTCAGTATTTGTTGTTTAATCAAATAAAATGCTTAATATTTATATCAAGTAGTTTAAAATGTAAAATGAAATTAAGTAGGGTTATGCCAATAAGGTTCCATTATATATATTTCCAGTATATTCCCAAGAACAGCTGGGAAGACCGACTGTAGCCTGACAAAGCTTCTTCATCCCCTATTAAGGAGGTCACCCATGTTTTTGGCAATCAACATGCAACAGTCTTAAACCACCTTCTGAATAAATAGATTTGTGAAAAGACGAGGTCTTGCATGTCAAAAGACTATAGCTCCTTGTCCAATTTCCATTCTTTTTCCCTTATAAAACTTGGTGTAGCCTATCCTTTATGCTATTGTCCTGAACAATAACAAGGAGAAACCTACTATGAGCTAAAAGCAGTATGTATCAGCAATTGTTAGTAGAGAATATGCTTCGATAGGGGTTTCCAAACCTAGTCCTGTGGACCTACACCATTGCTGGTTTTCATTCCAGCTGTCCTCTTTACCTAATTAAATAGGTAAATACATATTGCATAGGAAATACAATAGAATAAAAGATACATTTTAAGAATGGAAAAACCAATAATTCAAATTCATCGCATTAAATCAAGTAAGGGTTCAGTTATGTAAATTGAGAGCTCCATGAGAACACAGAGACTCTGGAAGTCCTCAGGATTGGGGCTGTGATCCCCTGTGCTAGGACACCGAGCACTGGATGGCCAGGGTACCATCCCAGACTCAAAACGTGAATCTATACCACAGGACGCTAGTGCTATTCATCAATGAGGGAAGGTTCCATATCCATGTTCAGGCTATTGAGACACCCCAGGTGAATGTTACTGTGACTCGAAACTTGGACTACAAAGGTAGGGATTTGGTTATGATCCAGAGGGGGCATGTCTGCTTCTCAGTTTAAGCGTGGCACTAATTTTTCCTTATGTATTTTAAATATAAGAATCAGCTCAAAGGTGTATAATTCATACAGTAGAATATACAATAATAATGAGTACATTTATATGTCTTAGCACTATGGCTACATTCCACAGTTCTTTGCTATGATACAGCAAACTCCCCTGTGATAGTGAAATGCTGCTAGCACAAACATTTAATCCATCCTTGTATTACAATATGTCCAGCTCTATTTTTGCACTGTAGAACAGACTAATCCACCTAAATGTACTTCACAGTAGTGGTATATATATATCTTTGCATCCTATTGATTATTGATAATAATCGGTCTTTCATAAAGGAGCATCTACAGTACATACCTTTATATACTGTAGATCCTGACTCATTCACACACTCAAAGCATTACACAAACAAACAGTGCTGATTATTAGATTTTATATGTTCTCTTGGTGGGGATCCTCACTCATGGCAAATATAAAATCACATATTAGATATGAAGTTATACATTACAATCTTGTTTCTTTTGTTTCAGTGGAAAAAAACATCTTTGGCCCTTGCAAAACTCACCTGAAATCCAAAACTTTCAACTCACAATATTGTCAATGTTATTTTGTAACATTATGATGAACGTTTTCTCCACCTAGGATGTCAGAAATGAAAGGTACATGGACTGCTGATTTCCTTTATCTTATAAGTAAAATGTCCAAACTATGAGTTGATTAACTTTTCTACAGTGGGGCTCACTAATATCACAACTAAAAATGTAATGTTATTCTAGTACTGGCATTGCACCTTGGAAAACTGGCTACAGGACACAAGACAAAGACAAGTGTTCTCCAAACACCTGCATAAACAGTATGTGTTTTCCACATCTTTGTAAAAGCAACTCAAGATGATGTGTTCCTTCAAGTCAAAACCTGACAGTGACCATGTTTTACAATGCAATTTTTATGGTTCTTAGCAAGATGATTAAAAGTACAAATACATTCAGTAAGCTTGAATGTTCCAAAATTGTACATACAAACATTTAAAACTCTACTACTGTTTAGCAAAACCTTAAAATGTTTTTTTTTTTGTGTTTGTGTGAACACGGGACTGCGGAACAAAATGCTTTTTTGAGTTTTCACTGCTTGGGGCAATCAATGGATTTCAGCTTAAAGGGCAAACAAAAGTAATAAAAACTAGATCAATGCCTTAACAGAATCCTGTTCCGTTAACAGTTATATAACATGCAGTATACACCTGAACTCCAACCACAACAGGATGGGTATGTGCAGATAAGAGTCTGATCCCTGTATAGATCAAGGAAGGGCAGAGTGTTTCCATTGGGTTGAAATAACTGCAGTTATTGTCAGTGGGCAGTGGGTATATTTACTTATCTTTCAGTCCAGTCAATTTATATTTCTGTATCTTGTGAAAATGCCTTAAGCCATTTCTGGAATTCTCTTTAAATTCAGCATTCTGAGGGAGGTCTTGGCCATATGCTGAAGCAGTCCATTTGCTTAGTCCATACATTCGTCCATTTCAACATCCTGGGCTGTGGCATTATTTTTTCTGCCTTTTGCAGATCCTTTTGCAGAGTTTGCATTTCCTTTGGGTGCTCTCTCCACTGAGAAGAAAAATAAGAAAAATGTCATAACTGTGAACTTCTGCAATGGGGAGGTACAGTCCTTGACATCAAATGTTAAACCAAAGTCCTGGCTACTTGGTCATTAAGACTCACGTACCCAAGAGAAAAGTTAGGTGCCCAGGCTCTGCCTAGAAATCACATCACACAAAATGGCAGAGAACAAACAAGAATGATGGAGGACAAGACAATGCAATCTGAAACAGCACATATAACAGGAAAGTGACAATAACAATACAAAGGAAACACAGGTGAGTATAATTATGCATGAGTGTGTATGGGGGTATGAGTGTGCATCTATAACAAAAACAAGAGATCACAGGCTTGGTCTTCTTCACAGCAATATCAGTTGATTGGGTAGTGAAGTGTAACACTACAACATTTAAGGCCAATGGGCAAGCAGGTTGATTTAAATACTTTTCATGCTAACAAAAACGTTAACAGCATGTAGCATGTGCCTGAAGCAGAAAACAAGGGTTTTTTGCTGTTTTGCAATTTACTCTGTGTTTGCAGTACTCGTTTCCTCTTCCCCTGCTCACTCACTGAGCATCATGACACATCATAAGATAAGATCGCTTTATTAGCCATATACAATTTCTTGTATTAGGAATTTGTCTTTTCACATCCCCCAACACCATGAGTCACACAGACAGGGAGAGAGAAGCTTGGGGTCAGAACGCAGGGTCAGCCATTTATATGGTGCCCCTGGAGAAGCTGGGGTTAAGGCCCTTGTTCAGGGGCCCCAACAGAATAGGATTCCTCAACTGGCCAGGGGATTCGAACCGGCAACCTTCCAGCCACAGGCACAGATCCTTAGCCACAGAGCCACCACACCGCCCCCACAGCCATGCGACCTCATGAAAGTCAGTCTGTTTCAGACGGCAGTGAAAATGCAAGAGAGCAATCCTGATCAAATATTCTAGCACATTTGACCAGGACCAAAATCCACTGGAAATGTCCCTGCTGACATTGTGTTCTTACCCTCCATTGTAGCTTTCTCGCGGCTCATGTGGTGCAGCTGCTTCATGAGCTTTCTTTTCTTCTTTCCAGACAGTGTGATATTGGCTCTACAGTTGGAACTGCCAGACACAGAAAGCAGGAGTCATGGAAAAGAAAGCAGCGAGCAGAGCCACTGCCTGCCACTGGCTTCACAGAGAAAAGATAACACAAGCTGCACACATGGTTCAGAGGAGACTGAAGATCTAAAACAAGACTGTGACAACATCAGGCCTAGATAAGGAAACTTCACGTTATTTGGATTTGGATTCTGCATACTGATAATTAGTAATTACAGTGGTCAGTTTCAGATCTCTTACTATTGCTGTGCTGTAGCCCTTTTCTTAATCTGTGTTGTTTTACAATCTATAGTAGAATTTGGCAGAATTTAAGAAATGGTACATTAGAATTTAAGAAAAGCCATAATGAACCATATGTGGTAAAGTGTATACATTGTTAAAATGAACAGCTGAAAATGTCAGTGCAACAATTAATTTGCCACCTTTAGCAATGTAACGCACTATTTAGATAGATAAGATCACTTTATTGGCCACATACAATTTCTTGTATTTGGAAGTTGTCTTTTCTATGAGATTTGAGTTGTTTCAAAAGTACTTTGTAAGTACTAACAGATGTTAGGTGTTAGATTGCCAAAGAAATGTAGTGAATGTCTCAGATATAATCCAAATATATTTTATTATACCTTTAATTAGGTTATCTCTATCTATTATGGAGGCTTTCGTGAAGATCTAGTTATGCTTTATGTCTTTAATGTACAAGAATATGGTTCAACCTAGGATGTCCAAAAAAATTTCTAGGCACTGTACAAATATATACCCTAAATATGACTAACTGTATTATTGCTAAATATTAAACCTGGATTAAAAGTCCTCTTTGTCATCTACTGTATAGTGGATGTTTGTTTAAAGCAACAAGACATAGCAAAATTTCAACACTCTGCCGGTCCTTTAAAGCTCCCAACATGTACATAGAAAGTGAAAGACAAAAAAAGGAGATTTAATTTAGATTATTGTTACTGCTTTACACTGCATTGTTAAAATTAGTCTTATAAGATTCAATCATATATGCTTCTTTTCAGATAGGGTCACTTACGATCTCTTCTTAAGGTGGTGAATAGTTATCAGCCCTTGATCCACAATGGCTCCAACAATCTTATGTTTCTTTCTCTTTTCCTTTGTCAAAACCCTTCGCCGTTTAAAGAGTTTCTTTTTCAGTTCCTGAAATAAATTGAAAAAATAACGATCACTAGTTTAAATCCTTATTGTATTCAACACAAAAGCCCATCTTTTCAAGTGATGGCAAGGTCTCACAAAGCCAAAAATGATGGTAAACTGCCTAGTGAAGCCACCATGCTAACCTAATCTAACTCTCTTTTCACAAGGAAAACTCTTAGTCACTTCAAAACAACAAACCACACATAATGGGTTCAGACGTAAACAGCTATACACAATGTCCAATTTCATTTGTATACAATAGTCTCGATTAAAAAAAACATTTATCAGAAGTCATGACATGGGTGATTGCATGGATATCTCTAAATACATGAATTGTGTATATAAGTGTTAACCAAGTCATTATAAATACTTTCTTTTCAAAGCCACTACTGACTTTACTCACAAAACAACATACAACAACCAATGACCCTGTCGTGGGAGAACATTCAGATTAACCATTATCTTTTCAGATCATGAAATGTCCCCCGGCAATGCACGCTTCGAAATTGATAAGAATGGCAAATCGTATTTATAGAATCTGGCATAAAATAAATTCAAAGCATGTTTATCCTAGAGATGTGTAAAATCCTTCTGATTTTAAATGTAAACCTTTCTTACACTGCTATGCTAACTACACGCGAATACTATTGTTGGGAATACAGTTCAAAATTTTACTAACAAAACAGCAAACTTCCCGTTTTAGTATTAATACTTTTAATTCTAACGCAATCCAAAAACTCACAGTTTTAGGTCTGTTGATCTTCCCTCCGGGAGCCATGCTTGAACCACGTGTGAGGTTCCGCCCATTGCTTGATTTCATTGGTTGCAATGTCCTTCCCTGGTAAATGGTGAATGGATTTCAGAACAGTCAGTTATGTGTCGTTGATCAATAGAAAATGGAGAATACAACAGTACATATCTTCCACGCTCTCCGAATAACTTACCTGTTTAGAAGTTTGAGTTGTGTTCTTTCTCTCTCTAATGGTTTGCTTTGTATTTTGCACAGCTCTTCTGTTTCTAGAAAAACAATAAAGGAGATTAGAATGACATTAGATGCTAAAGCAGAATAAAGACGGGCAGAATTTGACATTAGTTTTGATCATTGCCATCCATTGGTCAAGTGATAGATTTTCTATTTTTAAGAAGTAGTCAGTCCTTATTATTAGTGCATAGATGACTAGTTTTTTCCTTAATACAAAATGAACGACAGTCATTTTTAAAAAGACAGAATATGAAGCTGTGAGAATGAACTCAAGAAAGGCCGGTTGGTGTAAGTTGGATCTCGAAACATTTGAAAGGGAAGATGAGTTAAATGAACATGTGTCCAATGAAAATGAAAACAGCATCAATTCATGGGCAGCGGTAGACTCGCTGGTAGACCTTTGCAATTCTCTTCAAGCTCTAGCCTTCCATAATTAAAATGATTGGGCTTCCTCTCTTGATTTTTTTAGGTTTAACGACACCCCTTTATCCTCCTTTGATTGCACGTGTAACCTTATTTGTATTATAAATTATAAATACAAGAATGTGCATTATTTGTATACACACGACATTTTTTCCGGATGTATGTTTAGTCGGACATGTTTGTGTGTGACACCGGGAAAAACGTGAGGAACCAAGGAGACGAGGGTGTGGTGGTGTGTGTGCGGGAGGTATTTGTCTGCTGCAGAGTATTCTAGTATTCGAGTACATTCAGAACTCGGCTGAAACAAGAAAAGGTAAAATCACAGAGCATTGCTTGTCTCCGATACTTCTACATCCCCGGAGTAAGCAACATTGAGGGTTATTCATGTTACATTATTGAAAGGAAAGAGACATCGGATTAAAGTTAAATTTAATTTCTTTGTTTTCCGAGTACTGTCTAGTTTAATTCTTTCAATAATTTTATCTTGGCGTCCACTTTCTATATCTCTGTATCTCTATACAAATTCCCCTTAAATATTATAGATTGCATTGTGGACCTACTATAAAATTACGCACGTAATTACAACGTGTAATTTAATATAAATTAAACCTCAGAAGACATGATATGTCTATTTGCATATTTCCCAATAATAAAACTCACAACAAGTATTTTCCCTTTCTTTTCCCCACTTCACTGGGTTTCACCTCTAGAAATGAGTTTCTAAACTTTTTTAATTTTAATTAGGATGATCTGTGAACATTTCAGGATTTTTCAATGTCTCCTTTTTAAAAATTTTGATCTGAATTCTACAATACTATATGTGCCTATGGCGCCCCCTCAGGATGAGGCAGCCTACACACAATACATTTTCTTGGATTTTAGGTGCAAAGTAAACGGATTGGCATCATCTGTTTACTTTTCTGTTCAAGGTTTCATTCAAGCCTACAGCAGAAAATCCTATTAGAATAAGGATTAGAATTCTTATGGATGATTGATTTTTTTGAAACAACATTTGGAACAATACAAATTAGTCTTTTGAAATTAGTCTGAAATAGTTCTGCTAAGTCATTTTTTATTTAGAATTGTAGTCAGAAGTGTAGTTAGTTGCTGTAGTTCACGTAGGTAGCTGCGTCAGCATACATAAGCTGCAAAGGAACAAGTAAAGGGTTTATTCCATGCTGTAAAGAGAAAAAAAGAAACACAACCTTTCTGCTGTTGAGCCTTCTTTTGGTGTACAGTATATTTTTCATGACTTGGCTTGCAGCTACAAACCCTGCAACCGCACAAGGGAAAAATTAGAAAGTATAGGCAAACTCTTCTGACCCACCCACCTTCAAGTAACTCTTTCACTATTATGTGTCACCAAGTAGGCAGCCAACCACTGGAGGAGAGTTCTTCCCCCTTGTTTACTAATTGTACCACATACATGCAAATGCCCAGAAGTTCATTGGCAGACATATCTCACCCTAGCCTCAGTGGCACAAAGCTAATTGTCTCCCAGCACTGTAATTCCAGTCACAGTCGGCTATTTACATAACCTAGCCTTGAACATGTGATCACACATATTCACACATGCAGTAAGGCAAGCACCTTGTAATAAATAGCAATTTGAAAATACGTGCATGAAATACTGGCATGAAAATACGTCAGTTGCTACAGTGTATTACTTTACACAACACTTATGCATAGCATTTAGACACAAAATCTAATAGTCCCTCAGTTCTATCAAACAATTCTACCAATTCAAATATGTCATATATTTTAAAAATGTGAATAGTTAAATGTTTGTTAAAATGGTAGCAAAACAATCACGATCCATTTCAAGCTGTGGTGTGACATTACTGGTGTGCTTGGTAATGTGCACATATACTCCCTCTCGTCAATGTCGTGATAACATAAAAGGGCTGTTTGTGTAAATTTAACAGCTTTTTGTGTGCTCAAATCCCAGGAAAGAAAGGGGTCTCAAAGGCAAATATTTCAGAGAAATAACATCTAGGAGGTGAATCTCCAAATGTGAACAAGAAGCCTAATACTCAGAAGTTAAGGTGAAGTATTGGTTAACTACATAAAATACATAAACTACATAAAACTTTTGTATTATTTTACTAGGTACTTTAGTTAAGAATACTGAATACAGTAGGGTCTCAACATCTGCAAATGTAATATTCACCAATTAGCTTATTTGCATTTCAGTCTGGCCGAAGGAGTCTTGTATGGAAGAAGAGGTTAACCAAAGGCTGTTAACCACAACCTTTTAAATTAGCATTGCAACAGACTGGGATCGTGAGACGAATCTAGCTAGTGAGTCACTCCCTGCCTCCTACCCAAGTACCCACTACCCATTATCCTCATCTCAACATGGTGTTGTTTATATAGTAACGAGAGCTCCTGGTTCTGTGTCCAATGCATGGGGAATGACAGGCTGGAGATAACTTTAAGGGTTTCTGACAGCTTTATTACCCTTTTCATTACAGTGGAGCGTGCTAATCACGGAGACCGAGAGAGAAAGTGCAGGCTATATGCAGAGAAGAGTTTGATGTTTTTTTTTATGTTTTTTTCTTTGAGACAGCTGTGTTGTCTCAAAGAAAGGGATCTAGTATCTGCCATTGAATTAAGGGACCGGTCACATCCAGGCTTTATATGTGCTTTTATGTGGCTGTATCACTCCCTTTGTTGTATGCAGTGAGACTTGCACAAGACTGGGAAAATGATGTTTCTTTAACGGGGCCTGATCTAGGACACTATGATCTGTAACAGACAATCAGTTGGCTCGAACAGACTGACCAGCAACCATATCACCCTGCAACTCACAACTGGCGACCCACTGAAGCTAAGTAGGTGTGAGCCTGGTCAGTACCTGGATGGGAGACCTCCTGGGAAAAACTAAGGTTGCTGCTGGAAGAGGTGTTAGTGGGGCCAGCAGGGGGCGCTCACCCTGCAGTCCATGTGGGTCCTAATGCCCCAGTATAATGATGGGGACACTATACTGTAAACAGGCGCTGTCCTTCGGATGAGACGTAAAACCGAGGTCCTGGTCATTAAAAATCCCAGGGCGTTTCTCAAAAAGAGTAGGGGTGTAACCCTGGTGTCCTGGCCAAATTTCTCATTGGCCCTTACCAATCATGGCCTCCTAATAATCCCCCTCTATGAATTGGCTACATTACTCTGCTCTCCTCCCCACTGATAGTTGATGTGTGGTGAGCGTTCTGGCGCACTATGGCTGCCGTCGCATCATCCAGGTGGGTGCTGCACATTGGTGGTGGTGGAGGGGAGTCCCCATTACCTGTAAAAGTGCTTTGAGTGGATATATAAGCGCTATATGTAAGTGTAAGCAATTATTATTATTATTAACCAGACATGGAGTTGAATATGACTCCCTGGCATCTTTTACTGCTCACTGCACTTTTAGGGACTACTTGTCATTTTTGTTCCTCAACAAAAAAGGGGTGAACTTGGATAAGCAACTTAGTTTAACTTCCACAAGATGGCAGTATTGCTGTTTCTTGCAACGACTGTTGAACAAAATCTCGAGAATTAAGTCTAAATAATGTAATACAGGCTGACTATCACCAGATGGCAGTGTTGCCCAGTGGAACAGAAAAGGTGGTTGAAAGTCGGCAGTTTGACCCTGCCACTAGTTTCATACACTAAGTAGACCTTTACGAGAATAAAGTGTACATTTTGCTGCAGTAAAATGATACCACACTGATGCTTATTTATGCTTGTTGAAAACATTTGCAAACAAGCAAATAAAATGTCTAATTTCTTATATTTATATCCATCTAGCTTTTTCCTAACCACTTCTTCCAATCCAGGGTCACAAAGTGGCCAGAGCATATCTCAGCAAGCAATGGGCACAAGGCAGCGTATGCCCTTGATGGGGTGCCAGTCTGTCACAGGGCAGACACACGCAAACAACTAGGCACAATTTCCCAGAATTCAGTTAACCTACCAGTATGTTTTTTTGACTGTGGGAGGAAATCAGACCACCTGGAGGAAACCCACACAAACACAGAGAGAACATCCAAACTTTGACAGACAGCACCCCAAGTCTGGAATAGAACCCAAGTCCTCAGTGCTGCAAGGCAGTAACGCTAATCACTGTACCATCATGTCTGCACTTGGGCAATTTCAGTGAGTGGGTGACAAACTGTTTAGAAGTTTTCACTTTTTACAGGAAGGTTAAGGGAAAGAACTGTTAATTCCTGTTTACTTAAACCCCTAGATTCACGCCCAGACTCTTTTCTAATTTGGGTATTATATTGCAGATGTTAGTTCCCATTCTATATATTGTCTCCAAACTCTTGTAGTGCATATATGGTAGCCTTGCCATTTTGTCTCAGTTACTCTTAGATAGACCCCCTAAAGTTTCCTTCTTCAAATTTAAATTGAAGTAATATCTGTCTTCTTTAGACTTTATTTAAAGTTTCTAA